CAGGCCGACATCTGTGAAATCAAGATCAGCCTGGACTACATAGGGAGTTCCAGGTCAGCTGGGGCTACAGGGAGACCCTGCCTTAAAAAAACAAAAAATAAATTATTTTAAAGTTATGATACTAGCTTCTGTGTATAGTTTTAAAAACAAAACGAAACAGTCACAGAGCTTTCACAGAACTTTTAATAGTCTCTTTATGGAACTCCGCATCCCCACCACTCCTCATTCCTGAGGTATCTGTGACCCTGTCTGATTCTGCTTCACTTTGATCAGTAAACTGGAAGAGGGAGGAGGTAAGAAAGGGAAAAAAAAGAAAGTGGGATCAAGTACCTGTGGTTCAAGAGGGAAGTGACTTAAATATAAATCTATGAAATAAATTCTGAAAAGCACAGGATTCAGGGCAGTGAAGGCAAGACAAGTTTGAAGGTGAGGTAGCCCCTGCAGGCCTGGGGGTCTGTAATCAAAGCTACTCAGTAGGAGGCGGAGGCAGTAGGATTTCCTAGTGGGCTACAGAGTAAGTCCAAGACTGGCCTGTACAATTTAATGATCCTAGTCCAAAATGTAAATTTAAAAAGATGTTGGGCTGTATAACTCAGTGACATGCCTAGCATGCTTAAAGCCCTGGGTTCAATCTCTAGCACCACACACACAAAAGTATAAACAAAGGCACTTTTCCTACAAACCTGAAAATTTCAGCATGGATATTTTCATGCCTGGTTTCAAAACACAAGTTACTCTTGCTCACAACTTACCTATTCCACACACTACTGTTCTCCCAGAATTCATAAATCATGTAGCGAGATTCATTTGAAAGCTTCTGTATAGAAATGCTGAAACAGAAAAGACATGATTAGCCTCTGGACATTAAAGAAGCAAACTCACCTGCCAGGCTGGGGGGATGGAAAGTGTGAATGCAGGAGGCATGGCAGCCCGCCCGTCATTCCAGCACTTGAAAGGCAGAGATCCTTGGAGCAAAGGTACTAGCTAGACCAGCTGTGCTCCTAGCTATGGGTTTAATGCCAGAGCCTCATGTCACAAAAGGTAGAGAGAGATCAAGGAAAATGCCCAATGTCAGCTTTGGGCCTTGATCTGTGCATACAGGCAAACATACTACATACAGACAGCATGCAGAAAAGAAGCAAACTGATTTTTCCAATTGTACATGTAGTATGCAGTAACAGAATATCAAATGACTTTACTCTGCTATTTGGTGTGTCCAGCATAAAATGTTTTAGTTTAATAGTACCTTTGCAAAAGTTTATTCATTCGAAGTTTTATTGAAGCTGGGCCTCATGGTGGCACATGCCTTTAATCCAGCACTTGGAAGGCAGAGGCAGGCAGATCTCTGTGAGATCAAGGCCATTCTGGTCTACATAGTGAGTTCCAGGCCAGCCGGGGCTACACGGAGATCCTGTCTCAACAAACAAAAAAGAAAAAAGATTCAAATGAACAAGAATGAAGGAGGGGCATGTTCTAAAGCTTTTGAAAGTGAAAATCAAGTGGCTGTTGCATACAAAAGCTTAATTCTGTTCTGAAAGGACATCTTTTTCAGTCTAATATTTAATAATATGTTCAGATTAGGAAGCAAAAGGAGAGATTAAGAAATTAGGATTTATCAGTGAGTCAATTCATGCAGAGTTAGTATTTAAGGATGGCCAGCAGGTGGCAGTAACTACATAGAGGAATTTTAATACTTCCTTGTTCTCAGGATTGTTCTGTTTTTCATAGTTTATATAATTTGGTTCATTAGATATGATCTACCAAATGTTACTAGCTCAAATTTAGACTTTTCTGAGTAAATATTTACTATACAATAATAATTGAATATAACATGGGGTTTGTAATTTTCTTAACCCAGGGGTTCATGGATAAGCTTTGAGGTGTGTTCCATAAACCTCAGAAATGATGTGAAATTAATGTGCATATATGCTTTCCCTAGGAAGAGAATCTATAGACTACTTCATAGTCTTGAAGGTGTCTCTAGTGCCCAAATTTAACCTAAAAGTATAATGGAGGGATTTCAACCCAGTTCTGCTTTTTTTAGGATACACAGCCTAGCATTTCAGGCCTTCCATCAATTGGCTTCACTAGGCTCCTGCAAACTAATATACTTATACCACCCATTCTATTAAAACCCCATTTAGCATGCTATGTGAATGTTTCATTTTCTGGACTAGGCCTCAAAGTCCTGTAAACCTGTAATCTCAGCATTTGAAAGACAGTTGCAAGAAGATCTTGAGTTTGAGGCCAGTCTGGGCTAAGTGGTGAGATATCCCTCCAAAAACCAAACAAAAAAACAGAAAAACCAAGCATTAGAGATGTAACTCAGTGGTAGAGCACTTGTGCAGCATATGTAAGATCCAGTGTTTGATCCCCAGCATTGCCCTCCCAATGAAACCACATTCAGCACAATGCTCAGGCTTTTGCAAGGATTAAAGGGGAAGGATATTACCATGTGATATGATAGGGTAGTGGCTTAAAGAATGGCCCAACAGCTTCCACTTATGTGGCATGTCACCTGGCGCCCATGACTCAACCTCCGTTCTCCCTCCATGAAATGGTGATAGTAGTAGTTCTCCGAGGACTTGAGAAAACTCCCCTTTATTCTGGGCTTCCTTCCTTCCCTGAGTGCATACCCTGCCCTCCCTCACAGGGCCAACCAAGGAAGAAAAGACACAAGAGGGAAACGCTCCCATACTCTCTACAGAGCTCTGGATACCAGGTCATTTTATCTCTAGCCGTACTGATGGATGGTTAATGCTCCACTGCACCCCCTTCTTAATTCTCAAGGGTTCTAAGTCATGTTCCCTAGGTCCTTGACATGGAGTTTTGAACACATTGGAGTTCTAGAATTTCATACCTGAGAATAGCTTCAATGATCACTTTTTGCATTTATCAACTGTAGAATTCTAGGCCAGGAACATGGCTTTCTTTTCTCATCACAAGTGGGGATCTTATGTCTCAAGTTAGATTCTAAAATCCTTGAGAACAGAAACTGTTCCTTCTCTGGTGTCGAGCTTAATTCTGAGAGCATATACATACATATTCTACTGGTAGCTCTGTCACAAAACAGATTTTAATGAACCTTTGTGATTACAAAATAACTAAGCATTGTGTGTGTGTGTGTGTGTGTGTGTGTGTGTGTGAGATACATCAGTTCACACAAATGATCTACTTGAGGTTTTCAGCATTTTTTAGCAGGGTATATGTATGCATGTGTATACACGCTCATACCAGCTTGGGTGAGTGGCTGTCAGAGGACAACTTGTGGGAGTCAGTTTTCTCCTTCCACCATGTGGGTCCTGGGGATTGAAATCAAGTCATTGGGCTTAGGGGCAAGCACCTAACCCTCACCAAATTCTTATAGAACACCATCAACTGAGTACTATGACAAAGCCTGTCAGTCCTCAAAATGCCAAGATTCCTAGTAAATAGTCAGCCAAAGTTCTAATTCAGTTGCCTGAATGTGGCAAAGTTATTATTGTTGTAGTTGGAACTGGAAGGTTCTTGCACATTCCACCCCTGATTAGCAATAAACAGTTATGGAATTTTTAATTTAACTATCATTAGATCTTGACAAGATTAAACTTGAGGTTTAGAGTAAAATTTGGGCAAGTTGTTTAACCCACCAGAGCCTGCTTCTAAGCTGGGTGTTACATGCCTATAGTGAGTCCTGTGAAAAGTAAATAGGGAAATTGTTGCAAAATTGCTAATCTTGTAAATCATTGCCTTACAACAGCATTCTGTATCTAGCTTGGTGGGACTTAGCTAAACAGCATGGGAGAGGAAGTTAACTTTGTTAACTAGTAGTTTCATCAATTAAGTACCAGGCAGTTGTGATGGGTACATGGGAGCACAAAGGATGAACGACTCAGCAATTGATACAGGCAGAGTTGAACAGATTAACTGGTACAATCTGAAAAACCGGATTGAGACAGGCAATGTTTCTTCCATGTGTGTTCCACCTGTATGGTGGTTTTCTAGGGCTCATTCCATCTAATAAAATCTGTAGTTGATAATTCCTGCAAAGGAAATTAGCTGATGAATCAGCAGTAAGCCAGTGAAGAACTAGCAAGAAGCACAACAGTATTGCAAAGGACAGGAGAGTCTGAGAATCCATCCTTCGGAAGAACTCTTAGCAAAGCACTTTTCCTTGGGGAGCACAGTTTGCAGCAGGCAGCACGGATCTCTGAGCCTCCCACAGCTTCTTCCTCTCTCTGAGGCTATTCTAGTGGCTTCAGGTCCCAGCACACATGAAAGTGCTTCTAAGCCTTAGGAACTTCCGTGCCCTTTTTATAAATGTAAAACATCGAACCAATCCCTGGAGATTCTGATACACTGGCACAGATTTGATCTTCTTCCTATTCTTGCTAATCCAAAAGGAATTTACTGAGTCCTACCTTCTGCATTTTGCATGGTAAAAAGTATGTATATATAAGCTGCTTTCACATTTTCCAAATAATCCATTTTATTTTTAAATGAGTGGGCTTTTAAAAACATTCCTGCCCTGGCAGATCTCTCTGAGATCCTACCTACGTGGACTACAATGAGGTTTTTGTTTGTGCCTTTCTGAGCCTGATCTGAAGTAAAATAACATTGTGGATGTCCGGCATTTGCTGTGTGTGTGTGTGTGTGTGTGTGTGTGTGTGTGTGTGTGTGTGACAAAGGCGGCCCAGGAAAGATGTGGACTGTAATGGCGCTAAGCAAATAGAGTGAAGAGATGAGAGGTCAGGAAGCAAGAGTGTGGGCAGCTCACATTTCAGGGTCTTCAGTGGATGGAAGATATTGGACTGGGGGATTTTTACATAAACATTTCATGGGATTCATGTGTGTGTGTGATGAGGGATTGAGCCCAGGGCCTTATTAAACATGCTAGTAAGTGTTTTACCGATGAGTTACATCCCCAAACCTTTTTGTGTTTGAAACAAGGTCTCACTAACTTGGTCAGGTTGGACTTAAATTCACTCTGTAGCTCAGGCAAACTTTGAACTTGTGATCCCCCAGCCTTTACCTCCTGAATAGTTGGTTTACAGGCCTATGCCACCAGGTCCACCTTCATGAGGTTCTTGATGAGGAAAACTGAGACTTGGAGCCAGTAAGCAGCCCAAAGAATCAAAGCTAATCCAATACTATCTTTAATCCCAGTTTAATCCTACTGATTAAATCATCTAATTTCCAGAGCTGGAGAAACAGGAGCATAAATAAAACAATGAATTAACTACCGCAAGGAAAAGCACAGCACTCAAAGACACAAAGCCTGTGTTTACATAAACACACACACACACACACACACACACACACACACACACACACACTGCTCACTCCACAAACGTGGTAAAAAGCTTCCCTAGAGCAATATTCAAAGAACATTTTGAAATGCAGTTGAAACTAGCGCCTAGTTGAGGCACATTTTGTTGTGGAAGTTTTCTGAATGGAGATGAGTCTGGGCTCTGAACTTAAGGCAGAGCATGAGCTGGCAGAGACCTGCAGCTGGTAGATTTCTGGAAGAGCATGGCCAGGTCTAAGGCATGGTAAGAAGAAACAGAATATGCTGAAACATGGGCAGATGGCTGTGCATATGGACTCCTGGGTCTGAAGGCAACAGACCCATAAGGTCTAGACATTTGATAAGATACTCATTAGAGAGTTAGTGCAGAGTCCTCATTAAGGGAATTCTATCATTGTTTTTGGGAAACTGTTCTAGTACCTGTTTATTGGACTAGTTGTAGTGAAAAAATTCTAAAGGAAAAGCATGCTTTGGTCGCCTTTATATAACAGAAACTTCCGCTGTTGGGGGTAGGGTCAAGGAAGAGGAGAGGAAAGATCAACTGCTGCTGCTTTTATGAAATAATCAAGGTCTGAAATCATGACCTCAGAGAGCCCTGCAATTTTTGTAATGGTGGAAATGGTCATTAGGCTACAGGGTAATCAAGGCTAGATGCCCAGGAGTTGAAGCCTCAGCCACAGAGATGATTTTCAATGAGTGCTGGTTGCCTGTGTACAAAGGGGGAAATTTCAATCTGCTTGAAACTCTTCTAGTTCAGATAATTCTCCATTTTATTTCCCTTGGTATGCCTAATGATTAAATCAACTCTGGTTCAAAGATCAAATGGAAAATATCCTGCTAAACTCTACAAATGCTATAACCCAGAGGGCTGGACTGCTTAGCAGAACTTAGAGTGAGGATTCTGAAATGCCTGTCTTCTGCATCCCCACCCTCGTTGGAATCTCCACTTTCACCAACCTGGCAGAGTCGTTCAGGCCTTGTTCTGGTGCACTTACCGCAAGCAGCCACTTTGGGCCGAAGCACTCTCCACATAGTGTTTCAGGGCAAGCTGGAATTCTTCCAGATCTTCTTCTATCACAGACATCTGGCGCTGCACGAGCATGATGTGCTGTGGAAGAAAGGACAGTTGAGTGCTTCATACCCACAGGACTGTCGGCCAAAAGTGGACCAGGGAATGCCGTGACCATTCTGTGTCCAAAGTTATACAAAGGCTGATATATATGTGGGACATTTTTTTTTTCTGCTTCTAGTAACAGACGCTAAACAAAGTGGTCTCAGCAATGACACATTTCCTTTTTAGAAGCAAGAGGCTCAACAGCATCCTGGAGGTGCTTTCATGATTATATTATTTTTTATTTTTTTAATTTTTTTATTGAATTTTCGTGTGTTTCACACAGAACATCTTAATCATCTTTATACCCCCTTCCCCATTGGCACCCTCTTATAGCCCCCCCGACTTGATTTCATGCATTCTGTCTTTTAATGTTAAAGCCTATCAAGTCAAGTTAGTGACACCAGCTGTCCCTCAGTGCAAGTTCATCCACTGAGGTCTAGTCAGCCTATCTTGAGTCCCTCTAAGAGGATCAGTTCTTCCTCACCCAGCAGTAATCAGCTGCCAATAGTTCCTCAGCTAAGTTTGGGGCCTGCTGCCCATTTCCACAGTTCTGTGCTGGGTTTTTGTCTGCTTGAGTTTGCATGGGTCTTGTGCATGCTGACACCATTGCTGTAGGCTCATATGAGCAAAGTCCCAGGAGCTGTAGGACTCTATTTCCATATGATCATGCACCTCCTCTCCTCCCTGGCTCTTACAATCTTTCTGCCCCCATTTCTGCAATGGTCCCTGAGCCCTGGGTGGGTGGGGTTTAATATAGGAGTCCTGTCCAAGGACCTGTACTCTGGAGACTCTTATTCTCCACGTTTTGGCCATTTATGTCTTTGTGTTCATGGCTTTCTGTTGCATGAAGGACCTTCATTGAGGAGAGTTTAAAGATGCATTAGTGGTCTCTCTAGTTCTTGTTCTGTGTTCCATAAGCCTTAAGTGTAGAGGTTCCATTGTAGATGTGTCACTTGGGGTTGGGCAGTTCAACACAATCTCTGTATGTGACCAGTTGTGGAACTCTAATAATCTCTGTCTGTTGCAAAAGAAGTTTATTTGATGAGTGGTTTATACCTATCTCTTGGGGATGGGAGTTGGGGCTGAGGCACTGATACCTTTTAAAAGCCTCTCTAAATGTCTTTAATGTACAACCAGGTCACAGTCTACCCTAAAGTTGCCACAATATAAAGAGAAGTCCTATTGTACCCCAAACAACTTCTTGAATATTTTTTGATATTAGATACTGTAACAATTTTTACAATCCAATTTTATAGCAATGTGTGTTCACTGATGAATTTCCAAGGTTGCATCATCACTTACAGGGCTCTCTAGCATATTACCCACTTACAACAGGTACTGTCCAGAACGCCATGACTCTGTGTGATGGCTAGTACTACCAACTTGACAGGATCTAGGGTCACACAGGAGGCAACCTCTGGGTTTGTCTGTGAGGGGGTTTCTAGAATGGGTTGTGCTACAAAGACCCATCCTATCTGTGGTGGGCACCATTCCATGGGCTGAGGTCCTGGACCAAATGAAAAGGGAGAATCCAAGCTGAGCACCAGTTTTTTCTGTCTCTGCTTCCTGCCTGCTCATGCAATATAACTAGCTGCCCCGTGTTCTCGCCTCCATTCTCTGAAAACTAAGCCCAAATCAATTCTTCCTTCCTCTGGTTGCTTTTGTCAACTATTTTGTCACAGCAAAAAGAAAAACTACTAATATGCCCTGTCTGATGGATCTTGCTGGTTTAGCTGCCAACTGCTCTTTGTGATAAATCTTATTTCTGTTACCACTGCACTTTGAAAACCTCCCGAGAGATTTGCCTGTGTGCTTCTCATGGAAGTTTCCTATCAACATCAGTCCTTTCCTCTTCTGCAAAGACTAGGGGAAAAAAATTATAGAATTACAGACATAAGACTCACAAAAATGTAAAAACAAATAAAATCATACCTCACAAGAATAATATGGAATATGAACAAAAATTTCTTGATATTACTAGCCATGTGGCCCCAAACCTACAGTTAAATCCCTAGTCTACTGTCCCATATTCTATCAAATTTCTCAGGTCTTATTAAATAACTATTGTATTTTGATGGAGCTGGAGAGATGGCTCAATGGTTAAGAGCACTGGCTGCTCTTGCAGAAGACCTGAGTTCAAATCCTAGCACCCACATGGTGGCTAACAACCATCCATAAACTCCATTTCTAGTGGATCCAACTCCCTCTTTTGACCTCTATGAGTATTGCACGATATGGGTGCACTTACATGCAGGCAAACCACTCGAACACATAAAATAAAAATAACAAATAAAATAACTATTGTATGTTGAATACCAATTACATTGCAGGTACTATGTTAGGCACTAAACTCATCCAAAAATTGCTTCTATGTTCTATGATAGTAAATACTGGATGCTAGAGTATGCAGTGGTTGACAGAGACAGACTTCTAGGGCTGGGATGTAGCTCAGTGCTATAGCCCCTGCCTAGCATGTATAGACCCGGATTCAGTCGTCAGTGTTATGCACACTAAAAAGACTTCCTGTCTTCAAAGGCTTTAGCAAAATAACAAGGCACAGAACTATGTCTAGTTAATGATATTAACTGCGCCTACTCACACATGAAACTGACTATATGTAAATCGATTGAAAGTTTAGCAATTCCGATCTTGAGCCCAATCCTAAAATTCTTCAACTCTTTAGCTCTTAGAACTCTGTTTGAGACCATAAGTATTTATGAGCACAGAGCAGGCTAAGGATACTGAGTGCATAACCTCCTCTCTGAGGGTGCTGCTCCCCATTGGTGTGTTTCAGATGATCACAGAGGTTAATGTATCAGGAAAAAATTTTCAAAAGAACAATGGGGCAGCAAGGCTCCTCCAATAATGGAGACTCAGTGTCTAATCACAGAACTCCCCGCCAAAAAAGGCCTCTCAGCTTGAATTCATTGTTGCAATCAAGCAGTGAATGCTGTGTGTTTCTCATCCATCCTCCATCCATATCTTTTAAGGTCCAGTTTGATTGAGACCTCGAGAGGCTGCTTCCTGACCCAACAGACAGGACTGAGTGACAGCCACAGATCTGAGATTTTGAGCTAAAAGCAATAACTATAGAGAACTTTGGGTAATATCCCTTACGGAATGGTCTGTACATGTTGTATATGTGGAGAGAGGGCTGCAAATTGCAATGTGATAATCAGAAGGTGGTCTATGTCAAACTTCTTTCCAGATACACTATTGGACTCTCTATTACACCCTCCCGTGTAGTTAGGTAAAATCACTTGATAATTTCTTACCAAAACATATGACCAGAAGTTCAGAAACTCAAGGCAAGAGCTTGAAGCAGACACCATGGAGCAATGCTGCTGACTGAATCCCAGGCTCACATTCACCTACCTTTTTTATAAAGCCAAGACCCTGCCTAGGGATGATACTGTGCACAGTGGGCTGGGTCTTTGTATATCAATTAGCAATCAAGAAATGTCCCACAGACATGCCCATAGGCTGGAATGTTGGAGGTAATTCTTCAAGTAAAGTTCCTTCTTTCCAGGTGTGTTAAGTTGGCAGCCAAAATTAGCCATGATGCCAAGCTTTGCTTTATTTCCCTCTCAAGATTGGGGATCAAGAATCAGAAGGTACAAAACTGTGATGACTGCCTCCTAAATTTGGGGGATGAGCAATCAGCCCATTGTATGACTCTCACAGGCACTTGGTTTAATACTAATAATTAAGTAGAATTTATTTCTGACAGAATGGTAGACATATCCTTTCACAGAAATTTTGGGTCAAACATTTGTGATTAACATGACTCAGATGATTCTATGAGCCTTCAGATATAGGCTGGGGTACTATACCTAGATGCACCTGTTCCCTCATAATTCTTTCAGTGTGAAGGCAAGCTTTCCAGGATCTAGTAGTGTCCTGTACTGAAAATGACAAGAGGCCTTCACTACCTCTAAACCCAAGCCCTTTAAACCATCACTTTTCTTCTCCTCCCATGAAGACACTGGTTCTGTTCCCTTCCCCCGGTATCTAGGTTAGTCTTCTATCTGACTTTAACTGATAGAATTCAGCAGAACTGACTATGTCAATTGGAAGATAGTACCCAAGGGACCTGTTAGTTTCTACTTTTTCTTTCAAATTCCTGAGATTGCCATGTGAGCTAGACCTGCCAGAGCAGATGTCAGAAAATGTTTTCTGTAAATAGGCAGACAGCAAATATTTCAGGCTCTCGGTGCTATCTGGTTTCTATTGCTGCTACTCAGATATGAAATAATGTGACCACAGCCACCGACAATATGCAAACAAATGGAAATGGTTCAGTTTCAATCCAACTATATGTAAAAAATGGGTGGCAGGCTGTGAATAAACCACAGATAGCAGTTCTTAGCTTCTATGGGTATGAAAAGATTCGGACTACACAAGTGGAGCAGATGTGCAGCTAGATGTATAGAGGACATCCCTGGAGATCACAAGAGCCACGCCCTTTGTCCCAGCCTAAGTTTCCTGCTCACAAACGTGTGGCTATTGTTTAAAACCCTGAAGTTTGGGGTGGATTGCTAAGTAGCAATGGCTAACTGATTTATTCAGTTATATACATTAATGTGAATGCGATTCAGAAAAAGTAAACTTTTGGCTTTACTTTAGATTTTACTGTACAACCTAAATAAGACACATTTTCCCTCCCTTCCTATATGTTTGCAAAAAGAAACCAGTTTATGAGGCACAGTCTGCCTAAATTTGACTATTCCAATAAGGAGAACTTTTTAAATTGTGGTATATAAAGTTAGAAGAGGTGGGAAAGACATCCTAGAATTTTCTGGGTATTTTTATGTATTCTTAGTAAAGATACAACCTGAAATATCACAGCTGTTACAAGGTGTGAATAGCTAACCCAGAGCACTCTTTCATGATGCTACACCTTTGTTTCTTTGCTGTGGATGGGGTATCATTTCCTTTACCATTTCCCTTATGAGGATTGTGTTAGCATGGAACTATCTCGGACTCTTTTGAAT